TATATCTATATCTATATCTATATCTATATCTATATCTATATCTATATCTATACCTATATCTATATCAATATCTATACCTATATCTATATCTATATCTATATCTATATATCTATATCTATATATATATATATATATATATATTTGTTTTAAATATACGTATATATATAGTTTTAAAGAAACAAATGGAGGCCCCTAAGGGCCTGCAAGACCCTAGAAGAGGGCCCCCCCTCTGTCCCCTCTTCAGCAGGGGGCCCCCTTTGATATTGGGGGCCCCCTGGACCTGAACCTACGCCGAGAGGGGGCCCCTCGGGTTGGGGGCCCCCCACCAACACAAAAGGAGACACTTAAAGAGACAGGAGACAAAGTAGTGCTGCACCTGCCTGTCTCCTCTGTCTTTACTGTTAAAAAAGGAGACAGAGACCTCTAGGCCTCCTCTTCTAACGAGCTGCTGTCTCCTGCTACTGCTGCTGATGACCAGCAGCAGCAGCAGCAGCAGCAGCAGCAGGGAGCCCTATGAATCAGCTGCTAGGCTTGGGGGGCCCCCAGGAAGCAGTAGAGACCCTAAGGAGCTCCGCTACTTCATTTCTCACCCCTTCATCAAGCACTCGTGCTGCTGCAGTTGCGAGGCCCCTTAGGGCCCCCTTGGGGGCCCCCTGAACCCCCCGAGCCCCTAAGGCCTCCGGGGGGCCCCCAGCGCTGGCCCGACTGGGGCCCTCTAAACGCATGCAAGAGAAAGCCCCGCACAAATACCCAGTGGTGGGGTCAGTAATAACACACTCTACTTTTGCTGCTGCTGCTTCTTCCTCGTTCGTAGGGTCCAGATACACCGTATCTTCGTGTGCCCCCCCAGGGGCCCCCCCAGGGGGCCCCCTAGGAGCAGCAGGAGAAGCGTAGCACAAGGCCCAACATCTCCAGCGCAGAGGGAGGCCTGCATGAAGTGCAGCAGCAAATGCAGCGTTGCAGCAGCAAGCATCTCTGCTGCCGTCATCCTGCAGCAGCAGCACAACAACCTGAATTGTGCAGCGGGGGAACTGAGGTGTATATACAGCTGACTGCAGCAACTCATGCAGACGGTATTCGAGGCATCTACCCCAATCTAAAGATTTCTTTAGAAGAAAAGAGGGCCCCTGGGGCCCCCCCGTCTCTCCTGCAGCAGCATATGCTGCTGCTGCTGCCTCCCGCTGCGCCCCTAAACTCTCTCCTGCAGCAGCAGCAGCACGTGCTGCTGCTGCTGCAGCATCCATACGGGGCCCCGTTGCCTGCTGCGCTAAGGTCCTCACAGATACTGTTATACCCGCTTCAGTTGGGGGGGCCCCCCTCGCTTCCAGGGGCCCCACAATTGAGGCCAGAGCCACCGTGAGGCCCTGCAGCAACACACACATACAAGCATGCATGCATACATGCAACAGCAGCAGCAGCAATTGCTGCAGCAGCAGCAGCAGAAGAGCGTTCTTCTGTTCTCTTCGTAGAGCTGGAGTAGCTCCTGCTGCTGTTGCCAATCGTACCGCTGCTTCTGCTGCTGCTATTCCTGCTGCTGCTGCTGCTGCTGCTGCTGCTGCTTACTTGTGTGCAGCGAGCGCTGCCATGGGGGCCCTTCAGGGGCCCCAATTTAATTTTAGTTGGGCGCAACGCCGTCGCGCTGAGGCGACCATCGGCTCGCAGTGCTGTGCTCAACCCAAAGAAACTCTCCCCCTCAGGGGGGCCCCCTTCAGGGGGGCCCCCTAGGACTAGGGGGCCCCCCTCCTCTTGGGGGCCCCCTTCTAGGGGGCCCCCCTCTTGGGGGATCCCTATTAGGGGGCCCCCCTCTTGGGGGCCCCCTTCTAGGGGGGCCCCATCTTGGGGGGCACCTCTAGGAGGGTCTACTATCATGATAGAGCTTGGGTAAGGGAAGGTACTGGGGGCCCTATCAGAGGGGCCCCTGGGGTGAAGGGGGCCCCCACTACATGCGGCGGGGCCCCTGGGGGGCCCCCAGCAGCAGCAGAAGCAGAAGGAGATGCAAGAGAGAGAAAGGGACAGGAAGCAAAGATCAAAGCAAAGACAGCAGCAGCAAATTAAAACTGTAATAAAGAAATCGAAGGAGATAACAAACAAAAACACACCCCACAAAGAGACTCTCCAAGTAGTTGATGCTGCTGCTGCTGCTGCTGCTGCTGCTGCTGCTGCTGCTGCGCGCCGGAACGTTGCTGCTGCTGCTGCTGCAGAGAGATAAAAGTAATGGAAGGTAAGAAATCTGCTGCTGATCAGTGATCTCCAATAAAAAGAAGGTCCTCGCAGCAGCTGCAGCAGCAGCAGCAGCAGCTTCTGCTGCTGCTGCTGCAGCTGCTGCATGCAGCCCGAGGGCCCCTCCATCATCAGCGCGAGATGTGTTAAGGCTCTTTTTTTTCTCTTCTTCTTAAACTCTTATTCATAAACCCTAAACCCTAATCTGCAAACTCTAAACCCTAAACCCTAGGCTATTGCCTCATCCCTTGAAGCAGGGCTGTGGGGGGGGTGGAGAAAGGCCCCTAAACCCTAAACCCTAAACCCTAAACCCTAGGCCCTAAACCTTTGGGGTTCTAAAGACAGCGCCCCCAGGTCTTCTACTGCCTCCTTCTACGCCGCTGTCTCTTCTTCCTTGCTGCTGTCTCTTCTTCTTTGCTGCTGTCTCTTCTTCTTTGCTGCTGTCTCTTCTTCTGTCTCCTTCGAGATGCCCACTGTCTCCGTCGTGGCTGAGGAGCTCTATGAGCGCCTCGGCAGGAAGTACAGTGAGTCGAGGGTTTAGGGTTTAGGGTTTGGGGTGTAGTGCTTACCCCTGGGGAGCTCAAGGCTTGCTGCAGGCGGGAGCGTCTGCAGCAGCAACAGCAGCAAAAACAGCAACACCAGCAGCAGCAAGAACGATAGCAGCAGCAGCAGCAGCCAGAAGCACCTACTGCTTTGCAAAGGGGATACGACTTTGCGGCTGATTTAGGCTTAGGGTTTAGGGTTTAGGGTTTAGGGTTTGCGTGAAGGCGAGGATGAGTTGAATGCGTTGTGCTTCCCTTTACATTTTAGGGTTTAGGGTTTAGGTTCTAGTGTCTATGAATTAGTTTGTAGGGCTTATTGTTTATTGTTTTTTGTCTATTGTTTATTGTTTAGGGTTTAGGGTTTAGGGTTTATTGTTTAGGGTTTAGGGTTTAGGGTTTAGGGTTTGCGTGCAGGCGAGGATGAGTTGAACACGTTGTGTTTTTCTTTTGGGGTGGAGTTAGACGAAGTGGTGCAGCAAGAAGAAGAGACAGTTTTTAAAATAGAAGTGCCTGCCAACAGGTCTGTCTCCTTTTTGTCTCCTTTTTGTCTCCTTTGTGTCTCCTTTCTGTCTCCTTTCTGTCTCCTTTCTGTCTCCTTTTTGCCTCCTTTCTGTCTCCTTTCTGTCTCCTTTGTGTCTCCTTTCTGTCTCCTTTTTGTCTTCTTTTTGTCTTCTTTCTGTCTCCTTTCTGTCTCCTTTTTGTCTCCTTTTTGTCTCCTGTTTGTCTCCTTTCTGTCTCCTTTTCGTCTCC